GGCTCAATCTTTAAGAACTATTGCTATAATAACTACATTTTAAACATCTTAAAAGAGGCAGATTCACACTTCTGATTTCATTTTTTTGAAAAAGAATTGCTTATAGAATATTTTCAGAGCCATGTATTTAAGTTTAAGACATTGATGAAATGTTAAAATATGTTGATGATGTGAGGTGGTCAAGAACTCGAAATCAATGACAGACAGATCCTGTGAGAGGGCCAAGCAAAGAGTCTTTATTAGTAGTAACCAGTAACAGACACATTCGAATCATTAATGCCGATAATCATGGAGATCATGCATTCCCCAAAACATGTCATATTATCAAATATTAAACGAGTAAATTTGCCCTTTAAAAACCAATTGCCACAGTACAATATACACTGTTGCTCATAACGGTGGAATATTTTTTTTTATCCCAATTTATGGAATTATTTTAAAAATAATTTAAAAATACTAGATCTAGATAATAGTATACAGTCTCAGATTTTATTGAATAATAATTTGCCAATATGTGTTTTGCGTGACTGCTAAAGCATGTATATTATGCTACTATGTTTATCAACTAGGGGACCTATGCCCTTAAGTCATAAATGACAGTAATGAGGATTAATGCCTCACAAAAGGGCTCTGATATAGCACATCGACACGGTGTTGATCCTGGGGCCTCACAGTTACGAGGCCATTGCTTTGTCACTGAACCATGACTGTACGCAGCGGGGGCTATGGTAGGGGGCAGTTTCCATAAATTAAAAAAAAAACAGAAAATGCAATAAATTTTCAATAATTTATTGCATTCTACCCCGGTCCCCAACATAAAAATATCCTCAGGACGGCCATGCATTATGGCTCAAGGCATGGGCACACAAAAGATTTTTTTATGTTGGGGACCGGGGTAGAATGCAATAAATTATTGAAAATTTATTGCATTTTCTGTTTTTTTTTAAATTTATGGAAACTGCCCCCTACCATAGCCCCCGCTGCGTACAGTCATGGTTCGGTGACAAAGCAATGGCCTCGTAACTGTGAGGCCCCAGGATCAACACCGTGTCGATGTGCTACATTAGTGCCCTTTTGTGAGGCATTAATCCTCATTACTGTCATTTATGACTTAAGGGCATAGGTCCCCTAGTTAATAAACATAGTAGCATAATATACATGCTTTAGCAGTCACGCAAAACACATATTGGCAAATTATTATTCAATAAAATCTGAGACTGTATACTATTATCTAGATCTAGTATTTTTAAATTATTTTTAAAATAATTCCATAAATTGGGATAAAAAAAAATATTCCACCGTTATGAGCAACAGTGTAGCTGAAACTCTCAACATTAACACAGGTAAATACCTGACCCAAATACTTAAACAACTAGAAGTAACAGTCGATATAAACCTCATATAAAGCAACACATTCATATATTTATCTTCCATACTTTTCTTACTTCCAAACAAACTCCAATAATCTCCTGGTCTAACCCTAAACATTGCTCTTACTCCTATTATTCCATCTCAATTTAACATGTAACAATAATTCTTTTATAGCAATCTGCAAAATAAGAAATAAGGTTTACAATGATAGAGGGCGCTAGAAACCCTGAAATGGCTACATAATAATTAGACTAATACCCCCTAGCTTAGCAACCAAAATACAACAACATGCAATACTTTTAAACACTCAACTTCTATTATAAGCACTTCTTTTCTATGCTCCCTACCGTTCTTACTGACCTCATTCCTAAACCAAGACTTATACTCATCACATCAATTAGAGCGTACCCTGGTCCTGGTCCTGGCCCTGGGACCAGGCACAACATTAGCGCGCACGCACTACACCCAATTTTGGTACCGCGCGTTCAACTTATTAAGTGTACATAACCATGTACTACAATGTAAATGCATATAACAAATCAAAGCGCTAAGCATCACACAGTTTAACATTAAATCCTCGTTTCCAATATAATCATATCAACCCACATGATATATCAAAATAACTACTGAAATCGTTCTGACACAATACACATATGTACATAACAAATCTCTAGCATAACAATATTAATATTTACTAAACATAACAGTGGTTCAAGTTTGGTCAACTCACCTGTGAGAGAGCCAAGCAAAGAGTGCCGGCTTGTCTTAGCACTCCGCCGCCCTCTACAGGTCACAGGGTAATTTCCTAACCCTTTACATCGATATGAACCAAGCTTATCATTTTTTATCGGATGGTCGTGGAGCTGCAACGTTTTTTTTTTAATCTGATTGTCGTAGAGTACGTACTAAACCTGCAGGGACATTACTGTTCTTATACAAACATACAGTGTATTACTGCAATATATACTATAGTCTTACCGCGGTAAACCCATAGGTTAATTAGCACCATCGCAAAGATTTTCAAAAATCAAGCTTAGGCAATTCCAATAGCTTGTGCGTCACCTATTGAAATATCTGAACGTGATTTCTATTCCTTAGGCAATTTTGAAAGTGACTTTAATTGACTTATAAAGCGTTGCACACTACATGTTCCTCCTGCTTTCCTGATTTCGTAGAAAGGGTGGTTATATTAGATGTGGCGATCTCAACAACTACTGTCCTCCTGATTTAGGTTCTAAACAATAATAAGAATATTAACAACCGGAAGTTTAGTGTATTTAACTCTTGTAAGAATAAAAGCAGAATCGGTTTCAAATCGTAGACAATCGCAGTATTGGTCTGACGTCATTACTATTATGAGGCGATTTACCTTTTCCCAATCCAAGGAAGCATAAAATCCCTTGAAATCGAGATTTAATTAATTATGAATTTCCAGATCCTCGGTCATTACGATTTCAAATGTTTTAATGCTTATATAAAATTCTATCACAAAGTCTTTCAAATTCGGATTGTAGTCGGCCCAGAATACGGACCATGGAGTGTGCGCCGCGCTTAAAATACCTCTGAGATCATGTTCGTTATTGCATTTACAATTTTACAAAAGCCAGAAAAATTATTTTAAAAAAAAAAACCTTGATATTTTCATGTGGTATAACACTGGGAGTTATATACGGGCTAATTATTTCTAAACTACTTTGGACGGCGCAGAAGGACGTTAAGTCACAATGTGATGTGCATACTACAAATGAAATCGGAATGTTATAATTATAATTAAAGATGAACGCAGAAATCTTTTCTTTAGTATTAAAGTCACGAGGTTTTATTATTTTTCTGTGGGTACATGCAGTAAAGAATGGGTTCTTTGACATTTTTGATTAAGATTCATAGTTCATTTTGCATGTCACAATGATGATTATGTGTCAACGGTGAATATACAGTCACAACAAGACACTGATTAATATACTTTGTATTACATTACCACAATGGCAATAAAACGATCAGTTTGGAGTCGGAGAGGCAATGTGACTGGGTTATATTATGTCAGATTAAAATGACAGCTTAATTCACAATTTATTATCTTAATCTAGCGCAAATGAATGGGTTTGTGCAGTATAAGCATTGAAATTATATAGTCCAAGCATAAAGTGGTCGATAGACGGTTCTTCAGAATCAAAGGCTACAGATCGACAACCAAACATACTAAATAAATGGCTTTATCTGACCTTTAAATGTGCAATTGCAGTACATACATATTCCACTAACCCCGGAAGAGCTATAACTGTCCAATATTTGCTCATCACCTATGAATAATTACAGAAACAAGCACCATATTGCGGGGGATGATTATAATTATGTTTCACGTCATTTTAGCCTAGATATCCACTTGACACATTACTTTGTTCCTTGCTACAATAATCAAACAGGCTGACTGCCACTGACATCAAATTTATTCAGATCACATTGCTCATTTATCGTTTCCACTTAATATCATCTTGATGAATCGTGTTAATATTGATGGTGCTGTGGATGCACATAAATTACGTTATGCGTTAATCCAAGCGCTGAAGCCCGTTGCACTCGCGGCATCATTAAAAAGTAAAGACTCGTTCAGATCATTATGACGCGGCAATACCGCGGCGTTTTTTTTTTAAACGACGAAGTAAAGTGTCAAACGCCTCTCGATGTTTTTCTGTATCTTCTAGCACAGCGCTCAGTAAATATGCGTAAGTCCTTTGTTTTACACGTTAATTAAAAAAAAAGACGCAGCAGCTTTTTTGAGGCGGTTTATTTTGTGGCGTCAAGCGAGAGTGACATCGTGTGATCAATGCAGATGGAACAGTGTAAACATTGCGTTGATCTTTCTGGAGCAAATTGTCCTCATAAGTCCCAATTAGCGTCGGTAATGACGCATTCTGACTGACCAAATTTATTTTTCAGTAAATAGTCTAGGAGCCTGTCCCGAAATAGTCACCCTTCTCTACCCATAACATTTAACCCCTTAGACCATTACAGTCATCGATAAAGAGATTGTCAGCCTGCCCGTAGCCGTTGTGTTAAGCCCCTAGATCCCCGAAACCAAAACAGACCCCAAAGTCGGATCGTTTTCAATTCATCTACGCCACGCGACAATGTCTTTGCTACAACAACGAGGAAGCATGCAAACGAGTAAGCCCAAAAACTCGTCAATTTCTTTGCTTACTGACAAGGCTCTTATATTTAGGATTATGAACGCGTTCGCAACTATTAAGGCAACCATATGCAAGAAACCCAGTTAGAGCTACTGCTACCTCGGCTACTTCTGACAGGCCCTCAGTCGGGTTTGTAGTTTGTAGGTTCTCACGCTAAAATTGATTAATGTTTTGCAATAAATGTAAAGTTACTTCGGTTATCTTGGACAGGCAGTTGTTGTTCCTGTTGCATCCAAATGGCCACTTGTTGACTTGCGATTGTATTCACCTGCAACTATTAAGGCAACCATATGCGATGAACCAAGTTAGAGCTACTGCTATTCCGGCTACTTCTGACAGGCCATCAGTCAAGTTTGTAGTTTTTAGGTTCTCACATGGTTATGATTACAACATGCACGGTAAATTAACGTTTTGCAAAAATGTTAAGTTACTTCCAAAACAAATTGTGCCCCTTTGATGTGAAACTGGATAGATCACACGCTAAAATGGCGTCGGAGGGGTTACGACGAACTTCGAAAGTTTATTACGTTATTCACAATTGACGCAATATATTTTGAAAGGCCTTTCGAAAAGCCCGATCTCTAAAGCCGTAGATGATAGGATTAACAACCAAACTTATTGTATGCAATACCAGGAAGGAATTGTTGTATACCATGAGATAAAAAGGTGATTGGTACGTTATAAGCTGTAATATGAGAAACAGGGGATACGGAAACCAGAAGATAATGAAGACTGCCACGACAAGGGAGATAGTCTTAAATGCTTTCAATCTGTCATCTTGTACTGGGAGTTGCTGCTGTTGGAACTGGATGATCACTCTTTGACTCGCAATCTTTCTCGCTTGTTTGACTGCGATGTGAAGAATCAAAGCATTGATGGCAAGCAGCGCAACCATTAAAATCACGATCACACAAAATATCAACCAGGTGAAGGTAACGGTCGTCGTCCCAGTTAAAGGAGCCCCACAGTCCGTTTCTTTCTGGTCTTGACTTGTATGTGATCCATGCGCTAAGCTAACAGATCGGGCGGTGTTCATCAAAATACTAAGAAGCCAAAGACATCCCAGGACGATGGCAATGCGTCTATACGTCACCAGGCTGGCATAACGTAACGGCTTCGTAACAGCTATGAATCGATCTGAAGTCAACACCACAATGTGAAAAAACGAAACACCAGATAGTGCACTGAAGGGTAGAGTATAGTAAAGAGTATTTTCTTCAGCTAAGCACAATGCATAGAATTTAAAGACTGATGCATACACATATAGTGGAATCCCAACAAGGGCGTCAAGGAGATTAGAGATAGCAAGGCTCACAATAATGGCATTTGTTGGTGTTCGGAGGCTGTACTGTCTGTAAACTGCTAACACTAACAGGGCGTTGCCGACGATGACGCAAGGTAGAAAAGGAGTAATACATACCATGACAACTATTTTGCCAGCAAATTGATGATCTGCAAAAAGAGCTGGTTCCGTACTTTCATTCATTTTGATGATACTATTTAAAATGCCACTAAAAAGACTAGTTGAGATACAAATCGTGAAACTGCGATGAATCTGAATCTCTCACGAAATAGGACTGGCCAAGCTATTTAAGACAAAAGTATTTACTGGGTTATATCTGCACATGAACAAGATCGAAATCTGTTAATGGCAGTTTAAAGAACTGAATGTAAGTGCAAGGTTGTTTGTTTTCTGGTAAGTCCAATGATCGAGCCGATGGCAGAACCAAAATGGAACATCTCCGGACAGCGTATCGTGCAATTCCCGCCATACACCGCGTAATGTGAGTGACTGTATACTGACAAAGTGTTCAATTAAGAGTCACCACGATTATTAGCTCGTGTCAGGTTGTCAGATATAATCTCTGCCTGGCTATCCAACGGTGGGCTGTTCCCTTAAATGGAATAAATTATGTGCGTCGTATGAAAGACCTACGCTTTTTATAACTCACGAACTTGCTCTCAGTATATTTATACATAGAAATCCAGTAAACAAAAACAAGTAATGAAACTAGAACGAGCAATGGCAAAAGTAATTAAAGAAGCGCAATATCTCAGTGGTAGGGCAGTGGTCTAGTAACCGATAAGTCCCGGGTTCAAGACTATTTAAAGTTAATAATAAACTACAGTGCCCTTTTTGTAAGGCATTATTCCTCACTCCAAATCAGCCGGAGAGGAATTAAAGATGTCGGTCCAGAGGAGTTTTTTTTTTTCTAACTCGGTTTTTAATGTTTTACCTGGTTATCTGTGAAGTGCCTTCATGCAGAACAATCTTCAGCATGTTTAGAAACACTGACGACAGCACTGACGTGGTCAAGAGAAACTGGATGTATAACTAAAATTATTTCGTTCTACAAAATAATTGGCGGAGACTCAGTAACTACAAAGTATACTCCATATTAACATAAATATCTCCTTCTCACGCACACACACGCACACACACACAACCACGCGCACACACTCCACCTTATGAGGTAATGTCTCTATGGTTTCAGCGATCGACATGTAGTTGAAGCACTAAAAATCAACTTTTCACTATGAATCTATGTAATGTTTTTGATAAGTATTCTTTATTCTTTGATCGATTTCCCTTCTAATTTCACTCATAATAATATGCTTTTTGTGTGTGCGATATTGTACTCCCTCTAGTTAAATTAGTTGTACTAGAACCCACCCCCCTTCCACAAAAAAATAAAAAATAAAATAAATAAATAAATAAATAAATAAATAAATAAAAATAAAAAATAAATAAAAAATAAATAAATATATTAATTAATTAAAAAATTAATTAATTAATTAATTAATTAATAAAATTTTAAAAAATAAAAATAATAATAATAATAATAATAATAACTAGACTTTAATTCGTCACTTAGACGAATTAGGTGATACGTATGATAATGGTTTACATAACGAATAATGCATTACACGATATATTATTTTGCTTCTCCCATTATGATCTATTCATATGTCAAGATTAAATTGTGTCTCCTTGATCATCATGGATCTAGGGAAGATAGATTGAAACAATATATGACCTTTAACCCTGTGCAGTAACCAGTTACACATTTGACTCTAATTTACATCATGAAGAACACCTTTTGACGATTTTATCTTATTCAAAGAAATGAAAATGTAATTGATAAATGATTAGCATCATTATGATAATGATGATCGTGATGATCATGATCATGATCATGAGCGCGATCATGACATCTTATTGAAAAAATGAGGGTTGATTTAGATAGCATATAGTCTCAGCTACAACATACTCAAAAATCAACAAAATCCAAGCCGAAATAACGGCGATATTGCTCGCAAAAGACAGGAATGTAGACTCCAGATTTGAGAAAAAGTCATTTCCCATAGGGATTACACGCAAAAAGTAATGGATTAAGTGAAAATAGGGTAATAATAAAGTAAAAAGGGTTATTTATGACATTATTTGCGAATCTACGTGTTTAAATAATCAAAGGAGATGGTACAGTGAAGGTCAAAATGAAAAAAAAAGTGAAAAAAAAGTGTTGGAGACACCCGGACTCGAACCAGGGATCTCGAGGTTGGAAGTAAAGTGCGTTACCGATATACCAAAACATCTCCCATAGCGATTACACGTAAACAGGAAATGGAATTCAGAAATCCTACTTTGCAAGTGAAATATGAGCATGATCCCGGCATCTAATCGAAAAATAAAGGACACATTTGTGATAGCTCATTGTCTCAGCTACAACATATCCAAAGCTCAGCGAAAACGAAACTAAAACAACGGAGATTTTGCTCGCGAAAGACAGGAGTGTAGAATCCAGTTTTGAGAAAAAGTAATGTCCCATAGAGAATACACGCAAAATGCGAAAAATTGACATGCCTCCTTAAATCGCAAAAATACACCATGATACTTTTGTCAAAAATAAAAATTGTGAATATTACATTTGTAGAAAATTGTCTCAGCTAGAACATATCAAAATTAAAAAGAAAATTGATCCACATTTACAGAGATACAATCAATTTTCCAAAAATATGCTGACGTCATAATATGCAAATTAAAATGTTGAGTTTGGAGGCCATTATGATGACGTCATGAGTTAATTGAGGATAAAATGAGACATGAAATTATATCTCCGACTCATAATCTATTCAAATATGACAAAATATTAGGAGTTTCTATCTATTCTAAAGAGTTACAATGAATTTTATATAGGCATGTTTTTGCCCATGTATTGTGGATAAAGATAACGCAAATCCGCGCGTGCTGTCAACTTTGACGGACGCTCATTGCGTTAATAAAAGGTGAACAAATTATCAAAATGCTTGGAAAAATGTACCGAATATGATGACAGAAAAAAATCGGCGATTCTATGTTGCAAAATGCCAGTACGCGCGAAAACGCGCGCGCATGCGCGTGTGCGTAATTTTTTTATCAAATGCTTTATATAGCCTGAAACATATGCAAAAAAAATTTGGGATGATTTAGAGTATTTTTAATTTTTGCGCGCGCGTAAATGCACGGACGAGCGCGCACGCGCGCATTTACGCACGTTTATTGACCTTAACTTGACCGGACGGATATTGATCTTAATCATGATAAATATGAATGAAAAATTACTATTCGTTATAAAGATATGATCATTAGTTGATTTTCACAAAATGGCGCCTGGATGACGTCACGATAATTTTGACTCTCTAAAAAGTCATGCAGTTCTAAGTTAGACTAAGATCTATCATCATAGCAAGTTTCATGATAATGGCTTTATTCAGTCTTGAGATATCCTGCGAACAAATTCGAGGAAGAATAATAATAAATAAATAAATAAATAAATAAATAATAAAAATCTTGACGAAATCAAAAGGTGATACGTCTACGTACGTATCACCTAATAAATAAGTAAATAATAATAATAATTGTATACTACATTCCTTTAAAAAAGGGGGGCACGAGGCAATTGTGCCACCCCACCCCCTTCCTCGATTTCCAATTCTTTCATGAGGATAGAGTTACAAGTATTATTAACACCTTCATAATTAACAGGCTGTCGCTCAAAAATGGTAATTACAATAAGGCCTTTGGATCTATAATATCTAGGTGAAATTCGATATTGCTGGCATCAAATTTTTTTCAAATGAGGAAAGTGGAAAAGACTGTGAGAAATTGAGACTATAGGACGGATATGGAGTGACATCTAATGAAATTCTAGGATTGATTTCTAATAACTGGAATGGATTGACTGACACTGCTTTTGTTACGGTTTTTACATATTAAAAAAACCTTCTATCGCAAGGTCTCGATAAAAACATGTATGAAAGACACGAGAAAGTCAAAGTATTGTGTAGTCTCATATATTAATGCGCAATTTTGTTACTGTAAGGAACTACATGATCTAAACTTCGGCTTTTCAAAATAAAAATGATTGAACTGTGATATATGACGCAGGTATAATTACTTTTGAAATGCGCCCACTTAGCATGCTGGCAAGCGATCAAGGATCAACTTTCTGGTACAAATTTACAAAGGGAAGGAGAGGGAGCATGGATCATTTCGTGTTGTAGCACGAACGAATTGAATGCTGTCAATGCCCTCGCTCCATCATCAAACCATTTCCGACAGGTTCAGTATCATTAATTTTGGGAATCAGACAAAATATGTGAAAGACGCGTGAAGGACAGATCCTACTTTATTCAGGAGAAGTTGTGTTTTCGCATTTCATGATATTGACTACGGTAACCTTGTCAGGACTGATCCAGGATTTCCAAAAGAAGGGGAAGAGTTCTGAAAATGTTGACTTAATTTATTTTTGTTTGTCTGGAATATGATTTCAGGAACTGCTTCAGCTCTTTAAGTCGAAGGGTAGGGTATATTGAGCAAAAGAAAGATATATATCAGAGGTATCTATATAGTTTTAGCAACCCGCACTCCAGAATGGGACACGCCCCTTACGCATCCGTGTCTGTATTTTCTCGCGGACATGTACGTCATCAGATGATAGCTTGAATGGTCACACGGATGTAAGATTGATACTTATCCAGTGAACCAGATACACAGACCCAGCATAGCTCAAGATTTATTTATTTATGCGTACCAAACAGACTGCCCATGTCGGTGCCTACGAGAACTATCTCTTAAGACACTGGTGTGTGTCGAGTCTGGCGTTTGATTCGCGACGGACAGCGGAAAAGTTTTATGGGCATTTCGACCGGCTTACATCCGAAAGCGAGGCGCTAAATAACAAATATAATACATCGTATCCTCATTCGAGAAAGATAGAAGGAGCTAAAGTAGATTGTTTTACCGAGAAAGAATAAGGTAAGAATGATGAATTCCACCTATTCCGAAAACCTGCACGACAGTGGGTTTTTCTTTGCGCTAATGTTGACAATTATGGCTGTGCTGGCGCCGTTCATCATTATTGGGAATTTGTTCGTCATCTTTGCCGTTTACAAAAACTACAATCTACGAACGCCGACGAACTTTATCCTAACAAGTCTAGCAGTAAATGATATGGTGTCAAGTGTGGCACTCGCTCTTGCCTGCTACCCAGCCGTATTTTCGCAGGTACCCTAACATGGCGGACGTGCTATGGTTACCAATTTTCACTTTGTGTTCGAGTTCACTGCTCCACATTGTTGCGCTTACCGTAGACAGGTATATTGCAGTAACAAAACCGCTTAAATATCCTACATTGGTTACTCCGAAACGCGTTGGTTACGCGATAGCATCCATTTGGATACTTAGCCTGATCTTTCTCGTACTACGCGGTTACATTGACCTAAACGAAGTTCAAAATGCCAACCGCGGTAGAGAGCCGCACAGCCTCGGGTTCGTAATATTCAGCTTGGTCGTCGTCTCACTTTTGGTCCTTACACTGTTGGTGATTGTCGTCTCTAACCTCCGCATAATGCAGATCGCCGTCAGGCAGGCAAGAGCCATAGCGAATCAAACAATCAACGATCAAAATAACTGCGTCGCACCGGCAGCGGTGGAGCGGAGGCTCAAAGCGGTCAAGACTACCGGCATCATAGTCGGTGTTCTTGTGTTTTTTTGGTCTCCATATATCGTGTTCTTTACTCTTCATTTAACACTGTTAGCGGACAAAGCATCAATGGTCTATCTAAATCTTTGTTTCCTGGTAGCACTAGCTATTTCTGCCGCACTCAATCCTTTCATATATCATCATAGAGATAGGGAGTTCCGCAATACCTTCCTCGAAATATTTCGAGCTGCGTCAAACAAATTCAAGTGCTAAGATGTGTTTCCTTCATATATCATCGCAGAGACAGAGAGTTTCGTAACAGTTTCATCGAAATATTTCAAGCTACATGTACGTCAAACAAGTTCAAGTGCTAAGATGTATTGCTTTCATATATCATCGTTGAGACAGAGAGTTTCGTAACAGTTTCCTCGAAATATTTCGAGCTGCGTCAAACAAGTTCAAGTGCTAAGATGTGTTCCCTTCATAAATCATCGCAGAGACAGAGAGTTTCGTGACGGTTCCCCGAAATATTTCGAGCTGCATCCATTAAGTTCAAGAGCTAAGATTTATTCCCTTCATATATCATCGTAGAGACAGAGATTTTCGTTCAAGAGCTAAGATTCAATCCCTTTTGTCATCACATAGACAGAGTTTCGCAGCGCTCAACTCGAAGTATTTCGAGCTGCGTCTAACAGGATCAAGCGCCAAGATCTCGTGTAGGCTCAATCTGTAAGAACTACTGCTATAATAACTACATTTTAAATATCTTAAAAGAGGCAGATTCACACTGATTTAATTTTTTTTCCCTTCTAATTGCTCATTGTATATTTTTAGAACCATGTATTTACCGGTTTGACATTGATGTAATTTTGAAATATGTTGATGTTATGAACTAAGCTTATTGGTGTTATCGAATGGTCGTGGAGCTGCGACGTTTTTTAACCATATATCGCAGAGTACGTACTAAACCTGTAGGGACATTACTGTTCTTATACGAAGATACTCACAGTGTATTATTGCAATATATACTATAGTCTTACCGCGGTCAACCTATATGTTAATATGCACCATCGCAAAGATTTTCAAAAATCAGGCTTAAGCAATTCCAATAGCTTGTTCGCCACCTATTGAAATATTTGAACGTGATTCATATTCCTAAGGCAATTTGAAATTGTCCTTAATTGACTGTTAAAGCGTTGCACACTACATGTTCCTCCTGCTATCCTGATTTCGTAGAAAGGGTGGTTATATTAGATGTGGCGATCTAAACAGCTACTATCCTCCTGATTTAGGTTCTAAACAATGATAAGAATATTAACAACCGGAAGTTTAGTGCATTTAACTCTTGTCATAATAAAAGCAGAATCGGTTTCAAATCGTAGACAATCGCAGTATTGGTCTGACGTCATTACGATTATGAGCCGATTTAGGTTTTCTCCATCCAAGGAAGTATAAAATCCCTTGAAAATGACATTTAATTAATCATATGACTTTCCAGATCCTCGGTCATTAAGATTTTAAATGTTTGAGTGCTTATATAAAATGCTCTTACAAAGTCTTTCAAAATCGGATCGTAGTCAGCTCATGGAGTGCATGTTAGCCGCGGTGAGTTTTATTAGCTCACCCGGTGTGATGGGGGACGTGCGTATCTTCAGTAGGTCCATGCTGTGGTCGATGCATCACTGAGTGTTTTTTGTAAATAGCTTTATATATTCCATATATTATTTGTTGTTGTATTCATGAACCAGTTATCTTTGTCACATCATATGAGGGGCCTTATTAACTTAACAAGCTGTGCTTCAACCAAGGTCTCCTCGTCTTTCTTTATTCTACATTGTACTGTTATGATTATACTTTATTATATTTTGTTACATGTGATTTCTGGAAGACAAATAAACTTGATACTTGATCCTTGAAAATGCCTCTGAGATCCTGTTCGTTATTGCATTTACAATTTTACAAAAGCCAGAATTTTTTTTTTTTTTTTTTAAACCTTGATATTTTCATGTGGTATAACACTGGGAGATATATACGGGCTAATTATTTCTAAACTACTTTGGACGGCGCAGAAGGACGTTAAGTCACAATGTGATGTGCATACTACAAATGAAATCGGAATGTTATAATTATAATTAAAGATGAACGCAGAAATCTTTTCTTTAGTAAGTCACGAGGTTTTATTATTTTCTGTGGGTACATGCAGTAAAGAATGGGTTCTTTGACATTTTGATTAAGATTCATAGTTCATTTATTCATTTCACAATGATGATTATGTGTCAACGGTGAATATACAGTCACAGCAAGACACTGATTAATATACATTGTATTACATTACCACAATGGCAATAAAACGATCAGTTTGGAGTCGGAGAGGCAATGCGACTGGGTTATATTATGTCAGATTAAAATGACAGCTTAATTCACAATTTAGTAAGTCACGAGGTTTTATTATTTTTCTGTGGGTACATGCAGTAAAGAATGGGTTCTTTGACATTTTGATTAAGATTCATAGTTCATTTATTCATTTCACACTGATGATTATGGGTCAAGTGTCAACAGTGAATATAACATTCCGAGCTTCAGTCACAATGACGTGACCAACAAGAGACTGCTTAATATATATTGAATTACATTACCACAATGGCAAGGAAGCGATCAGTATGAAGTCGGTGTGGCGGTGTGACTGGGGTATTTATTATGTCAGATTGAAATGACAGATTAAAGGTATAGACCAGTTTTGGAAAGACCCCCCTCTCACAAAATGAAATGGAAGTTCTTATTACCAATCATATGAAAAAATATGTTTTGACTAATTCACGATGGTACAAATTTTGCCGGGGAACCGCCTATACTAATTGATATATTTGGTAAATTATTATATCTATCCGGACTGGATAGATATCGCGTAGTCCCGATACATCTTTCTATGTACAGTGCTTGGAATTGTACCAAGACTTGGCCAAATTTCTTATAATTTTGATGATTCCAGAACCTTGCAGGACACACCAATACTTATATGCTCAGTTAGATGATCAACCTTTTCTGAGCGATTCCACAACGTTTCCTTCACAATCTTACCTTTACTATCTTAATACAACGCGAATGAACAGGTTTGTGCACAAAAAGCATGACAACTATATAGTCCATGTATAAAGTGACCAACAGACGGTTCTTCAGAAACAAAGGCTACAGACAACCAAACGTTCTAAATACATGGGTTTAAGTGACCTTTGAATATGCAATTACGGTATATACATGCTCCTCTAACCCCGGAGGAGTTTTGACTGTCCAATATATTTACATTTTCCTTCAGACATATACATGCTAACTTTATTGGAGGAGCTAGCGCCTTTGAATGATTTTTGAAACAGATATATGGTGCCGTATATATGGTGCCGTGTCGTACAAATGCTGTGAATCATCATCATCATCATCATCATCATCATCAATATTTGCTCATAATGTTTTAACATTCTCAGATACAAGACCGCGGGGAATGATTATACGTTTCACCTGGACCAGGTATCCCTTTGACACATTACATTGTTCCTTGCTACAATAATCAAACAGGCTGACTGCCACTGACATAAAATCCTATTCAAATCAGATTGCTCATTTAATGGCTCATTTTATCATCTTGATGAATCGTGTAAATATTGATGGTGCTGTGGATGCACATAAATTACGTTATTCGTTAATCCAAGCGCTGAAGCCCGTTGCACTCGCGGCATCATTAAAAAGTAAAGGCTCGTTCAGATCATTATGACGCGGCAATACCGCGGCGTTTTTTTTTAAACGATGAGGTAAAGTGTCATACGCCTCTCGTTTTTTGTTTGTATCTTCTAGCACAGCACTCAGTAAATACGCGTAAGTTCTTTGTTTTACACGTTAATTAAAAAAAAAAAAGGAGCAGCTTTTTTTAAGGCGGTTTATTTAGTGGCTGGCGTCAAGTGAGAGTGACATCGTGTGATCAATGCAGATTGAACAGTAGAAACATTGCGTTGATCTTTCTGGAGCGTGGCATGTATGTGCACATTGTCCTCATAAGTCCCGATTACGTCGGTAATGACGCTTTCGGAATGACGCCTCGGGTACGCCGGGTATTCAATATTGATCATATTTATTTCAGTTCATGGTCTAGGACCCTGTCCCGAAATAGTCACCCTACTCTACCCATAACAGTTAACCCCTTAGACCAATACAGTCATTAATAAAAAGATTGTCAGCCTGGCCGTTTTGTTTAGCCCCATGAGCCCCGAAAACAAAATCAGACCCCAAAAACGGGTCGTTTTCACTTCATCTAGCCCACGCACCAAGCCCCCAAAACATCATCAATTTCATTATTTGCTGACAACGCTCTTAATATTTAGAATTAAGAACGCATTCACAACTATTAAGGCAACCATATGTAATAAACCAAGTTAGAGCTACTGCTACTTCGGCTACTTCTTACAGGCCATCAGTCAGGTTTATAGTTTGTAGGTTCTCACACTAAAATGAATTAATGTTTTGCAATAAATGTAAAGTTACTTCGGTTATCTTGGATAGGCAGTTGCTGTTTCTGTTGCATCCAAATGGCCACTTGTTGACTTGCGATTGTATTCACCTGCTTAACTGCAATCTGAAGTAAGAATGCGTTTGCAACTCATAACGAAACCATATGCGATGAACCAAGTTAGAGCTACTGCTAATTAGGCTACGATCGGCCCTCAGTTAGGTTTGTAGTTTGTATATTCTCACATGGTTATTATTACAACATGCACGGTAAATTAACGTTTTGCAATAATGTTAAGTTACTTCCAGGACAAATGGTGCTCCTTTGATGTGATAATGGATAGATCACACGCTAAAATGGCGTCAGAGGGGTTACGACGCACTTCGAAAGATTACTACGTTATTCACAATTGACGCAATATATTTTGAAAGGCCTTTCGAAAAGCCCGATCTCTGAAGCCGTAGATGATAGGATTAACAACCAAACTTATTGTATGCAATACCAGGGCGGAATGGTCGTATACAATAATAGTAAAAGGTGATAGGTACGTTATAAGATGTAATATGAGAAACAGGGGAAACGGAAACCAGAAGATAATGAAGACTGCCACGACAAGGGAGATAGTCTTAAATGCTTTCAATCGGTCATCTTGTACTGGGAGTTGCTGCTGTTGGAACTGAATGATCACTCTTTGACTCGCAATCTTTCTCGCTTGTTTCACTGCGATGTGAAGAATCAAAGCATTGATGGCAAGCAGCGCAACCATTAAAATCACATTCGCACAAAATATCAGCCAGGTGAAGGTTACGTTCAATGTCCCAGTTAAGGGAGCCCCACAGTCCGTTTCTTTCTTGTCTTGAATTGTATGTGATCCATGCGCTAAGATAACAGATCGGGCGGTGTGAAACAAAATATTGAGAGGCCAAAGACATCCCAGGACGATGGATGTGCGTCTAAACGTCACCAGGCTGGCATAACGTAACGGCTTCGTAACAGCTATGAATCGATCTGCAGTCAACGCCACAATGTGACAAAACGAAAGACCAGATAGTGCACTCAAGGGTAGAGCATAGTAATGAGTATTTTCTTCGATGAAGCACGATGCTTCGAATTTAAAGACGGTTGCATACACATACAGTGGAATCCCAACAAGGGCGTCGAGGAGATTAGAGATGGCGAGGCTCACAATAATGGCATTTGTTGGTGTTCGAAGGCTGTAATTTCTGTAAACTGCTAGC